GGAGGTCGCGACTTCCCTGTATACGAAGGAAGACATTGTATTTTAATGCACAGAGGAGTTAAGTAGGTTATTGTCATGGCTTAGAGGCCATGTCGCCATGCGGAAATGAAATCGTGAAGTCCTAAGTCCCCCTCGTTAACAAAATAGAGAAGTTAAACAAACAAACGAGGCGTAATTCTTCGTACCGCTATAAGGTTTGGACTGAAAACCCCTGCAGTTACAATTTTGTGTCAACAGAAATTGTGGATATAATAGCTTCACCTAATTTGTTAGCAAATACCGCGTTTCATATGAGTGTGATAAAATTGTGAGTGAATGATTTTATGGAAGCAGTACCATCGTAGTTGATATGGATGCAGTCTGTTCTCCGTCATCGCAACCGCTTGTTCTGCTTACAAGCCGTAATTTTGATGTATCGGTTGTTTGTTTAACTCTCGATTTTGAAAAAGCTCCACTTCGGTGCTCTATCATTTCACCCTCCTTAGGGGGGCTGGCCTTCAAACAATGCCACTAGCTCCAAGCCCAACGGCATTTCGAATATATGTGTTCTGTCCGAGCCATATGTCTTCTTTCGGTTTCATGGAAATCTCGGGGTGCTGCAGTGAGGATATGGGATGAAGTCACCACGATTGCATCAAACTTTCCCGCTGTCCTTCCTATTTGAAACAATTTTTTACAGCAGAGCGCAGAAATACGCCCTGGACTTTTTTAATTTGAGCATAACACTTACAGCCCCACTAATAACCAAAAGTAAATGATGTGTAGATTTTTACGACCAAATTTGCACTTGACTAATTTGTTTCCTCTCCTAGATCATTGGCGCTTACTTAAGTACGTAATAATGGAAGCAAATGTACAGAAACGAAATAGATCAATTCGACGATAGCATCAAACCTGTGACATATGTTGATCATTGACAACAGTTAAAATACATTTTATTATAATTTTATTATGGGTTATTCAAACGCCTGAATGCACGGGATTGACATCACGTAAATGTTAAAGAGGAAAGTAGTCCGAAATTTGCATCGCCCGAGACTCCCCTGTAGTCGCAGCGAATCAAAGTACTATGATAGAGCCTGTACCACCAATGTATGGAAGGTCTGGGAAGATATTCGTGTGGCCTGATGGCTGTAGTACAATGTGGAAGTGCAATTTTCGGAAATCGAATGGTGAGGTGTTCAACAAGGTAGAAAATCCAATCACTATAGTGCAGCGTCCCGAGACTCCCGGAAGACGAACGAAGACACAATACTCGGGCAGAATATATATTCAGCGCAGAGGAGGTGTTTGGGCTATTGGCATGGCCCGAAAGGCCAGCCCACCCAGCGAGGTACAAGTGGGCTAATCCAAAGTACAAAAGTGGCGCCCTGCCAATGTCGAGGGATAAACCACTGTCGTATTACAAGAGCGTGCGTGCGGGCAGACGTACGTAGTCACCAAGAGAGGCACGTTTTACTCTTGAATAAACGGCCGAAATTAGTATAAATGGTTATCAATTTCGCATAGCTTTTATGACAGCACGTCGTTAAAAAAGAAAACATGCGAAATGCAAAAAACGGTTTCTTGTAATGGATTAATATTTTATTTAACGAAGCATTGAACTAGACTGAGACATAAGCCTCAGCAGATTGTGCCTCAAATCAGCGACATGGTCTTTCAACCATGATAGTAGCCTTCCAGCTCTTCTGTGTCTGCAATACGTGGTATGTTTAGACTTCCGGGAAGACTAGAATCGTTACATTGTGAAAAAATGAAATTTGGGCTTCTCCTTATGCATTAAAAAAGCGGTAGTAAGTAAGTAAGGCCTGGGTGAGTCTTAAATTAAAAATGTAATTTACAAGGCTGTAGGAGGTGAAAGATCCTACACTACGTATGCTTCTTAACAGTTCTTCAATTTTTCTTAGAATATTCTCTTGCACGTCAGTTTACTACCTTGTCAGCTTGGCCATAATGCATAAAGAACCAACTAACCGCAAAAAACTACATTATAGCTTCTTAAAGTAATTAAACCGATTGACAAGCTCAGCTGTTTCTATAAATTTACACTTATACGCCTTCACAAGTATGCCTAAAAAACCATAGGCAAGTACCAAAAAGTAAAATAAATGCAGAGAGTTTAAACCCATTGCTTAACTTTGCATTTTGCAATTGAGTTAACACTTTGTTATGCTATATCACAATGAGATACCTTTCTGGGGGGAAGAACGGTGTTAGTCGCTGCTGGCCTTTACGCTTTTCGGTTTTGTTGTGGTTGTTTTGGGTCTTGGATGCTGTTACTCTTTGTGCTCATAGCATTTCTGCATGTTCATGAATCTTCACTTCAGGCAGTAAAGTAGCACTTGTTAGTATCTACAACTTTTAGCTTTCTGCTTCACTAAATCCTGGCTGTTTCAACTGCTCTGATGAAAATATCTCTGTAGTTTCCGTTGTATACCGCGGACGTAACTCCTCTATTCATTTTATCGTATCTATAACAAATGAAAGGAGTGTGCCGTCAGTGTTTTTGGCCTATAGCAATGCCAACTCTTCAGTTCAGTTCGATTGGCCTGCTATTATCGCCAATAATAAGTCCAGTCAGGCAGTGGTTCTTATCAACAGCTCATTTTACGGACTACTATTTCCAAATGTAAGCATCAGTTTGTTATCGTTGGTATTAAACATTGTTTTTCCTGTTTTTATCTTCCCTTTCCTCCACCCTCAGCTGTACCAGTATGAAGACCGCGCAGATGTTGCAGATATCTCAAGGGCTACTGGTCAGATTGTCAGATTTCCACTAACTCAATGTTTCTGGTTTCTTTCGCACTGGGATTCGGTGCCTGATGCATCGACAGGACTGTTATCACTCGCGTTGCGTTGTAATGATTCAAGTCCGTCAGTGCTATTCGCTAACAAAGGCTTCATCGAGCTCCAGGTTCGTTTCAAGTTATCCACTTTTTCGTGCTTTTTCGTGCTTTTACCCTAACTTAATTGCAACCTTATCCCGTAAAAGATGTGCTATGCACGTGCTCTTCTTTGGGGCTATTAAAGCCACATTAGAAGAGTACCATCGAATCCCCTTGGTTGTGAATTAGCCTGATTTCATGCAACTAATGCCGTGTATTTTTTTAATGCTCACATTAATTATTGAGCCCTGAATGGTCTTTAGCGGTGGGATTCATTTTAATAAAAATTAATTTTTTACCAATTTGTATCCTCTGCCGCATTGCTTTAATACCTCGTCAATTAACTCCGCCTACCAGTTCAACATGTTAATAGCCTGATCCCGTTATGAAGTGTGGTCGAGCTGTTTAAATCCACACTCTTCTTCTTCAAGTGAAAATATACATTCACGAAGCTGGTTTTGTAAGCTAAAAGGATTTTCACTATTTATTTATTTCGAAATCACCAACTTTTAAATAAGGAATCGCCATCCGGAATGTGTATCTGAAATAAAAGTTGTGTATTTCTACGATGGCCTTAGACTTCGAAGTTATTCTGTTGTGCTTATGCCTTTTTCATTTAATAGTGAGTATTAACTTACACCAAGTCCAAGAATCATATCAATGTTAAGTAGGCACGAGTGAGTTTTTCATGAATCTGCATGAATCCCTATTTGCATCCTCTTTGCTAATATGGAGAACTAACTTTAAATGAAGTAAGAAATGACTTCTGAGGAGTCGTTGGTTAATGCGTGCGCTGTCAGCGTCGCATATGTGAGGTATTCTGGGCCAGCTTATGACGACTAGTTGTACCAAGAGGTATTGCTAAGAAATTAATTAAGTCTAAAACAACGAAACTAGTGTGGGATTTTCTTAGTCTGAAAACATTTGGATTCTTTACCTTGTTGCACCCCAAACTTAGGGCAGGACAGCTATACGGCGGAAACCATCGGTTAATGGACTGTGCAAGGTTTGGAGTTAACGGTTCCCTCGATCTCACTATGGGTTTGCAATGAGATCACTTACAGATTTGTGTGGCGTACGGTAATCCCTTCATAATCGATACCCTTTACGTTTCTCGTCTGTTTAGTTCACCTTTTCTAAGAGGGATCGCTTCGCCGACAGCGCACCGCGTACCCTTCTACTTGGTGGATTAGCAGTTCGGATGAAGGTCACACTACGACGTCTTGCCCTGCGGTGGAAGGACACACGGTGGGCACTGAATCTTGCGGTAGTTGCCAACCGCAGCCTTCCCGACACTGCTGCTTTTGAAAACTTCATTTCAGCGTCCATTGATGACGAGCCATCTCCGGGAGCATTCAAGGTAGGTGTTTGTCTGCTTACCCTGGAAGCACAAGTATCCTACTGCGGTTCTGTCCATCACCAACTTAGAAGATTTTTTGTGGATTAGAATCACAAAATCGCCTCTGTTTTGTGCTTGGTAGTGTGATAGATTTTTCTATCATTGAGTAGTCCAAGGGTGCTGTTCTTGTTAATCCTGGCTTCTAAATCGGTGAACCCACAACTGCGAAGCGCGCACCCGCCTTTTGGTGGAGCTTATACACAGGCTTGGATGA